AATCGCACTGTACCTTCTCAGCCTCTGGAACACATGATGCGTACAAGCATTGTGTGCCTGGATCGCTGGTCGTCATCCCGAAATAGACCTTGCACCAGGAATCTCCCACCTGGCACCATGCTCCCCCGCATGTGAAGGCACCCTCCCGCAACTCAAACCACTGTACCTTGCAGGTTTCTGGGTCCTCACTGCCGACCACCTCTCACTTTCATGACCTTCTGGAGCGGGACCATATTTCTACTCAAACAATACGATCAGAATGTCGCCAACACTTTCAAAAAGCTCCACTGAATAGCGAGGATATTGAGCGATATTACCTGCATAGACTTTGGACAAGAGACCAGAATGGTTGCAGAGCTGTATAGCGGCATGCTTGATCGTGAGTCGGCATCCACGTGCTCGAAGCTCGGATGTCATGTAGGCACGACCGCATCCACGAATAGCAGACACTGAGTCCCTGATGCATGTCTAAGCTCTCGGTGCAACAGGCCTAGTGAATCGCATTGCCATGTACCTAACGATCACACAGTAGTAAAGCCGTCTTGGGTAATTCAGAACAACAGCATTCGGTATATATACAAGCTGAGAAGTACCCAATGGTGGAAATCTGCCTCCTCTCGTCAAACCTCACAATACGGAACTGGCGCGTCATCAGCATGCATATCAAAAGCGTTCTCGTTGCCGCTTCGGCAGCGCTGGTCGCTGCTCAACAGCCGTACTCTTCGCCATCAACATATCAACCCGCACCTGTACCACAACCCGCACCTGTACCACAACCCGCACCTCCCAAGGCCGCTGGGCTGCCTCCCTTGACCTACTCTACGCCCCCTCCACCGCAAAATGCGACACAGGGCTATTACAGAGGCAATTCTAGTTCCAACTCCACGCCTCCTCCAGCGCAAAATGCGACACAGACTTATTATAGAGGCAATAGCCCTCCTCTTTCCTGGACTGAATGGTGGTCTCAATTCCTAAGCTCTTGGTCGTATGACCAGTTAACTGCTTTCTATCAATGGTTCCAGCAATTCTACGCCCAGCGACAACAACTGCAGCAAGGAGGATACAGACCACAATACGGAGATTCTGGTTCTTGGACTTATCGCAAATTAGCCACCGGAACCAATCCTGGTGTTGTTGGGAAACCTGTTCCGACTGACAACATTCCCGATACCAATACTCCCGCTTCTGCTCCAGCTACGGATTCAGGTTCAGGGTCTAGCTCTCCTGCTCCTAATCCTGCCCCTGCGCCTGCTCCAGCTACAGATTCCAGTGGTTCAGATTATAGTGGTTCGGGTTCTACTGGTTCTACTACTCCTGCTCCTAATCCTGCTCCTGCGCCTGCTCCAGCTACAGATTCCAGTGGTTCAGATTATAGTGGTTCGGGTTCTACTGGTTCTACTACTCCTGCTCCTAATCCAGCTCCTGCCCCTGCTCCTAATCCTGCTCCTGCCCCTGCTCCAGCTACAGATTCCAGTGGTTCAGATTATAGTGGTTCGGGTTCTACTGGTTCTACTACTCCTGCTCCTAATCCAGCTCCTGCCCCTGCTCCTAATCCTGCTCCTGCCCCTGCTCCAGCTACAGATTCCAGTGGTTCAGATTATAGTGGTTCAGATTCTACTGGTTCTACTACTCCTGCTCCTAATCCAGCGCCTGCTCCAGCGCCTGCTCCAGCGCCTGCTCCAGCGCCTGCTCCAGCGCCTGCGCCAGCGCCTGCTCCAGCTACAGATTCCAGTGGTTCAGATTCTAGTAGTTATGGTTCTACTACTCCTGCTCCTAATCCAGCGCCTGCTCCAGCGCCTGCTCCAGCGCCTGCTCCAGCTACAGATTCCAGTGGTTCAGGTTCTAGTAGTTCTGGTTCTACTACTCCTGCTCCTAATCCAGCGCCTGCTCCAGCTACAGATTCTAGTAGTTCAGGCTCTAGTGGTTCAGGTTCTACTACTCCTGCTCCTAATCCAGCGCCTGCTCCAGCTACAGATTCTAGTGGCTCAGGCTCTGATGGCTCAGGCTCTGGTGGTTCAGGCTCTGGTGGTTCAGGCTCTGGTGGTTCAGGTTCTGGTGGTTCAGGCTCTGGTGGTTCAGGCTCTGGTGGTTCAGGCTCTGGTGGTTCAGGCTCTGGTGGTTCAGGTTCTGGTGGTTCAGGCTCTGGTGGTTCAGGCTCTTGTGGTTCGGGCTCCGGTGGTTCGGGCTCCGGTGGTTCGGGCTCCGGTGGTTCAGGCTCTGGTGGTTCAGGCTCTGGTGGTTCAGGCTCTAGTGGTTCAGGCTCTGGTGGTTCAGGCTCTAGTGGTTCAGGCTCTAGTAGTTCAGGCTCCGGTGGTTCGGGCTCTTGTGGTTCAGGCTCTGGTGGTTCAGGCTCTACAGATTCCAAAACACCTCCACCAGCAGAGCCAGCTACCAAACCGAAAGATTCCAAAACACCTCCACCGCCTCCGAAGATGGGCGCCTCCACTAGTACGAATTGTCCAGAGTTGTACCAGGCTGCTGGGGCATGCCCGGGCACGCCTACCCAGCCACCGGTGTAAAAAAGCTATGAACCATGATGTGAAAATGATTTGACGGAAGACGGGACGCTCCTCATGATGATGTTGATGACTACATGTACATGTACCTACTATGTATCCTAGATGATAATGCTGAGATTTACAGCCTGATAGACCTGAATTTGATGACTTTCCTCAACTGAGCTCGACTGTCGTTGACGCATTTAAGCATTTCTACTTCCTAGGTCTAGAATTGGTCATTGGGCTGTGCATGTACAAAGGTAATGACAAAATTTGAGAGCCATCGAAGCAAGTTTGTGTAGTTCCCTATCCTACATATCCTAGGCAGCAGCCTCGTACCAAGGCTGTGACAGCGGCAAGATGAGAAACTGGCTCGGACGCAGCGAAATAGGACTTAGCTGGATAAGGAATTGACTTGTCCACGGTACGAGAATCATAGCTCATCAGAAAGGCAGAAGCAACCCAAAAATCCCACATCTACGGTAGCATTCTTCTAGTCTTATATGACCGAGTTTGAGCCTTAGTGCGCCATCGCTAACAATCCTTATTCTAAAACCAAAATGACCGGCGCTTTTCTCAAATGTCAATATCAATGCCCAGATCCATGCTCCCGATGACATCGTCGTCCATGTTCTTCTTCTTGAGCGCACCAAGAGGTCCCTTTTCCTGGGAGCCAACCAACGGTGTGCCGGCACGTCTCTTAGGCGTATCAGCTCCGTTCATCGGCGTCCCGGCACGACTGGTGCCTGGAGTGTCTTCGCCAAAAAGCTCCAAATTCGACTTTCGTCTCTCGGCCGCTTTGGCCTCGGTGTTGGCTTTTGCCTCAGCAGCCTTTTTGGCTTGCTCGACTTCTCGTGCCTTCAGCTGCTTCTTCCTCTCCGTAATGAGTGCCTGGCGAACTTCATTCTGCGTCTTCTTTCGATTTGTCTGATTCAGGATAGCCAACTTGTGATGCTGGTCAACTGGCTTGACTGGGCTTGCCTTGGCCTTGACCGCACTGATACCGTTGGCAGAGCCATTGTCGAGTGCTTCGAGCTCAGCATCGCAGCGAGCAATTTCCTCCTCGTCTTGCGCTTCTTCAGCTTCAGCGCGGCGTCGCTCGATGTTCTTCCGCTTCTCTCTAGCTTGGTGAACTGGGTCGTACTTGAGCTGAATTGCTCTCTGTTTGGCAAACTTCTCTTGCAGCGACTTTTCGGTGAATTGAGTCTGCAGCAGCTGAGTGATATCGTCCAACTTTTTGCCAAGGAATCTCTTGCTGGGTATGCGCATGTTCTCCTTGTTAAGGGTGTCTTTGAAGCGTACGAACTCCACCTCGGTGAGTTTGCTGTCTGAGCATGCGGAGAATGGCCAAGGCTTCTCTGATGCACCTTGCGCGACTACGGCGTACTGATCGGTGGTGAAAGGCTTGCCGGCAGAGTTCTCTAGTTGATAGGGCTTACCAACAGTGAAGCCTTCGTGATCGTTAGCAGCATGCACCTGAAGCGAAACAACATATACTCACCCTTGATCTGCGCCATGCGGTACATGTTCTGACCTGTCTCGCGGTTCAGGCCGATACTGACCCTGGCAAAGCATCCAGTGACGAGCTTCTCAAACTCAGGATAGAAGCAGACCTTTGCAAAAGCCGAGCGGCCGATCCTGCAGCGGTCGAAGTCCTTCAGTTCGGCCGGAGGCTCGTGCTTTCGCTCCGGCTCTGCTGCCCACTCGACCTCGCTGTCACCATCGGCGTCTCGGTCAGAGCCGTGGTGGGAAGGCGAACGGCTGTCTCTTCGATCTCGAGTGGAGGCCAGGCGATCACGCTCAGCGCCCTTCTGCTCCCGCGCTCTCTTGTAATCGTCGAGTGCTGACCTCTTCTCCACCCTCGGCCGTGTGCTTCTCCTGTTCTTATCCTCATCGAGCTCTGCAGCAGCCGCTTTCCGCTTGGCCTTACTAGCAGCTGCGGTGCTACTGGCTAGCGCTTTTTTAAGGTGCAAATCTTGAATGCGCTTGGTGACCTGTTGGGCGCGCTCGGCGAGAATCTCTTCACGGGCGAGTTCGGGCAGGGCCTGGACACTCTCTTTATCGGCGGCATTGAGGTACTGGCCCTCATAAGGGTAGAGGGTCGCCTCCTCATCGTCTGCTTCGCCAGGCGCGTCGGCCTCGCCGTCCGACTCGCCCAAGGCGTCGGCGTGGTCAGGTTCCGGAGAAGGCGAGCTGTTCCACAAGGTGTAAGCAGCGACTCCCATCTTGCCAGCGAGCGCAAAAGCAGGTATGCGCGAGCGGAGGTGTACTGCTCAAGGAGGAAATAGCGCAGGCGAAGTGCAAATGAGCTTTGTAGGAGAGGTTTCAACTTACGCTGCGTCATCTTCGTCTTCGCTCTCTTGCCTCGCCTTACGCTTGCCCCGCCTGGCCTTCACCTTTTGCGCGACGCCTTTCCGACGCTCTGGCGGCTCTTCTGTCTTCTCGACGCTCTGATGCGGCTCTGCGCTGGGAGCTCGACCTTCAACATCTGCCTCGAGCCTGCCAAAGTCATCACCGGAGTCTTCAGACTCCTCGCCGTCGCTGACGAGGCCCAGGAGTTCGTTGTCGAGATCGTCCGCCATGGTTGAGGCGTAAGTTGGGAAAGCCGCCTCTCTGCAAGGCACTCTCTTAAAGCGATTGCTTGTAATGCTCGCTGGGTTGAGCCAATGTAATGATGAGTTTTCGTCAACAGGTCCTGCAAAATGTTCCTTTCTCCTGAATCCGGATGCTCAAAGAAAGATTCGAGGTCGGCGATGCTGTGACGTAGGGCCGTGGCTGTGCCGAAAGCTTTGCTGCGGAGAGATCGTTGGAGTCAGTACCGAGCGGCGTGAATCTCGTGAGATGGCAGAAGGCGGCGAATGCAAAGCGAAAAGAGCAGAGAAGGACGGAGTAGGAGAAGCGTCGCAGTGTGAAAGGCGGAGTGTCTGTATACCAGCAACTGTGGGGCCCGCACGGGGCACCTAGAGTTGCTAGCAACTCTAACCATACCAAGCCCCGCTAAACCCAATACAAATCGTAATCTTGGCATTGCCACTATCTCTGCTGTTCCTAAATTCCTTCTACATTTCCTATTCTATATCCCCTATATTATATAACGTCTACTAATATAGACCTATCTACGCCTAGTAGTATTAGTAACCTTAAATAGCTTCGCTAGCGAGTTTTTGACCTTATAGAAGATATTAATACCGATACGGAAGGCTAGAAATTAATACAGAGCCTATATAGCAATTAATATACTAGGAGGTCTACTAAGAAGCTAGGCAAGCCTAGTATAAATAGTATATACTATAAGAAGGTATACTACTATTATATAGAAAGGCAGCGCCGTAATAAGCTAAATCGAGAAGTAGTAGGTATTAAGGATAGAAGAGCCTTCAAACCGCTAAAAGAGGAGTGCTTTATTAGCTTTATTATAATAGTAGAATACCGCTAGAACGAGGCTACTAGAAAGGTTAGTATTCGTCGTTATATAACCGCTAATATATATACCTATAATCTCGACCTTCTTAATAGCTGCAAGGTCTATTAACTAGTTAAAGATAAGGTTAAGAAGCAAATAGACTACTCGCTATAGGCGAGGCGGACGTACGACGCTATTAATAGCTAATATAGACCTAATCTCGGTATCCCTTATCTCGATATCGGTTTACTATATAATGCCGCTAAGAAGTCGCCCTATTACAACCGAGACAAGCGGTTTACGATGCCGGCCGAACGAGACGATCCTAAGCTTTAATTATAGGATATTATAGCAGTAGTAAAAGAGCATAGATTGTATTATTAATTATTTAGTGTCTTAATAAAGGATAGTATTAGGAGAGGCTTCGTATAGGCTATAGAAGAAGGCATTAAGCTGCTAAAGAAGTATAGCAAATTAATACTGCTAGACGATACGCACGAAGTTAACTAAATAGACTAGAAGTTGTTTAATATCCTTATTTCTAACGACAATATACGCTAGCGTCTAGTAGTATATGCATTGCTTAAAAGCAAGCATAGTTAGGTCTATACGTAGGCACTACATTATCTAGCTTCTTAGGCTAACTATAGTAAACCTAGTAGTTAGTTATTATAATACACTATTACTAATAACTCGGCTTTAGAACAGATAGCAATCCGAGAGATATTTCTACTAGTTAGAACCTATCTTTATATACGGCACTTACTATAGACTATTCGCCGCAAATTTCTACTTAAAAGTCGATATAAGGCGGTCTATAAGAAGCTAGTTTAGGTATCGTTATATACAGAGACTAATAAGGAGGTTAAGGTTAGAATATAATAGGCTATTAACGCTCTACCGGACGGCAAGAACGACGAGTTGTACTCGTATTTGTTACGAGAATAGTCCGCTAAGTACGCCTAGATGTAGACAGTTAAGGAACGGAGGAGCAACCCCTTATTAATACGTATAAGACTACTATAACTACTATAACCTCCTCTTCTAAGCGCAATTACTAACTATCGTTACTTAGGCGTATACAACTAGTCTAGTCGAGGCGTACTACGCTAATTTTAAGAGTAACACTAAGTCGATTAAGGCTAACTTCTCGCTCGCTAGTATCCTTATATATATACTAGAGATTAATAAGAGATAGTATAATAATACAAAGAAGGAGGCGGCAAAGGATAACCTACTTCCTATATTTACTAGATTAAATAGTAGTAGTAAGCGCTTCTACGAGTTGCTATACTGTCTTTAAACCGCTATTACTAAGCAATATCGACTCGCTTAGAAGCGCGCTTATACCGGGCTTCTAAATTAGATACGATATTAACTACAACTCGATAACTAACTCCCTAATATATGCTAGTGCTTCTTCTAGAAGCAGTAGTACTAACCGTGTCGGCATATTTAGTATAATTAAGAGATATTAGGCGATAGTATAACGGCTAGATAGGTAGATTGCTATATTAACTGTTTCTTCGACCCTAATAGCTTTAATAGCGATATTAACTCGCCGAAGACTTATAGCGAGTAGCTCGTAGACGATAATAACCTATATAAAGACGATAAGGCCGAGGAAGTTAACGCTATTACTAGTACTTTATTAAAGGACCGTTACCTACTAATTCGTAGCCTTATCGAGAACATTACTTACGACTATTATTAGAAGGTTAAGAAGGCGGAAACGGTAGTGCTAGCGTACCTATTATTAACCTATCGAGACGACATTACTAAGCAGTATTATACTAAATATATACGCCTATCGGCGGCGGTAGAGCTATTATAATAGCTCTAGCAATATTAATAGCAATACGACGATAGCATATTATTTGCTATTTAATAGGCATAGGTCGATATAGGCGTAGGCGCCTTACTATTAATCTACTACTACTACTACTAGTAATAACAACCTTACTAAGTATAATAACCGCGATAGGTAAGGGACTTGTTCGTACTAGGCAAGGGCACTTAACGCGCACTAGAGTATATAGCGACTAGTCTTTATACTAATTAGTATAGATATAGTTACTAACCTCCTTCGCCTTCCTTCTAGTAATCTCCGCCGTCGCTATTTAAACCTACGTAGGTTACTAACTCGGTACTTTAGAATATATACGCCGTAGGCGATAGTACCTATTAATATAATATACCTTCTTTAAACGACGGTAGTTTAATAGACGTTATACGCTATATCCTTTACTAATAGCGACTTCTATATACGCCTACTATACTAAGCGGTCTTCGTTACTTAATAATCGCCGCTTATATACCTACGCCGTAGCCGTTAAACCTCCGATAATATATACTATAACAGTCGCTAATCGATATATTATAACTAAGTTACGAGGAAGTATCTATCTTTATTAAAAACCGCCGATTTCTATTAGAAGAACGGCAACGAGTATTTAATAGTAGGACCTTTAGTAGCGGCAGCGGTAGTAGACATAGTAGCGGTAGATATAGCGGCAATAGACAATAAGGGCAAGAGCAAGTAGATATACCTCGAATTTAGCGTAACGGCTATACTATACGTTAACTTTAGCTTTATTAAGTTATCGCTAGCAACCTTAGTAGAAATTACTATATTCCTAAAGCCCTTTAGAATTTGAAGCATATTTCAACTAAATTTATTAGGGGAGTTGCTAGCAACTCGAGGTTGGGGGTAGGACAGGGGTAAAAGTGGGTCGAGCCAATCAGCGCGAGTTGCTGATATACAGACACCTGAAAGGCGAAGTCGCCCGCCTGTCGCGAACTCCACACGTGAAACCTTAATCTGCACCTGCTGGAACGGCCCGACCGCAGCTGCCAATTGGCGATCGGATCGTGACGTGACGTGTAGAAAGGCAGGAACGTCCTCCAGAAACTTGCCATAATAATGCCAACGATCGATATGGCTCTCCATCAGCCCAGCTTGCCTCTAAAGGCCAGAATATCACCTCTCGCCTTCCAGCTGAGATCTCGCAATATCTGTCGCCGACATTTCGCCTCCACATCCAAGCAGCAGCTTCAAGAAGAACGCGATCCAGAATCCCTCAATTCGTCATCAGGCAAGAAGCCTGCGAAGCCTCTCACGGCAGAACAGAAACAATTCCTTGACTCTGCCCTTCGAGTAAATCAAGCAGGGGAACTGGCTGCCACATTGATCTACACTTCTCAAGCACCTCCGTTAATCAAGGCGAATCCTCATCTTCGACCGCTGATGAAGCATATGTACGATCAAGAAGAAGGTCATTTCAAGAAGTTCAATCACCTCCTCGCCAAGCATCGTATACGTCCTACAGCAATGTATCCGGTTTGGCACGCTGCTGCTTCTTTCTTGGGTTGGTCAACGGGTGTGCTTGGAAGAGAGGCGGCGATGGCCTGCACGGAGGCTGTTGAGACGGAGATTGGAGATCATTACAATTCTCAGGTTAGGGAGCTTTTGACTTGGTTTGAAGATATGGAGAAGAGAGGAGAAGAGCCTGGAGAGGAATTGAGGGAGTTGGTCAAGGATATAAGGAGGATTAGGGATGAGGAGCTGGAGCATTTGGATCATGCTGTTGAGAATGATGCAAAGGAGGCGAATCCTTATGAGTTGCTGACAGGTGTCATCAGGGGTGGGTGTAGAGGGGCTATTTGGATTAGCGAGAAGATATGAAAGAGTGGCAGTGCGATTGAAGCAGTGGAGCCGAATGGTAGCTAGCTCTGCTCGGGACACAGGATTGCATTGGGATTATTGATCACAGCCCACTCTTGTTGGCGTGGTTTATCGATCAACGAGGTTTTGGCCTCACTTTGCTACTTGGCGCCCGAAACAGCATCGCCGCCTGATTAGTTTTTGTCGCATCACACCTCGACCAGACACCAACATCACTGCCACATCCGAGCACGTTCAACACCATGGCCACGGCCACACGCACGCTCCGCGAGTGCCTCGAAGACCTGCCACAAGAAATCTACGATGAAATCTACGCTCTCACCTTCGCGATGCCATTTGGAGGCCAAATTGTGGTCATCAACAAGTCATACAAGCCACTAGCCGTCGCGCAAGTCAACCGCGCTGCTCGAAAAGCCTTCAAGCTTAGCTGCATGAGCCGCTGCTTCGTTGCGGAGCTCGAAGACCTCATCCCCTGGCTCAAGGTTCAAGAGTCGCGCCGGCAATGGGCCAATCTCCGCTGCTGGAGTGCCAAATATCTAAATCGCCCCATCGGGGAGACTTGGCTGGCTGTGCGCCTCACACTGGACCATTACTTCGACAAGAGCGTAGGCAGACGTCTAATGATGTTCAGGAATGAGGAAGATGTGAGTACACCGTGTATTCTTCAAAATTACGAGCGCTGATGCCTATTCCGGCCATGAATGGAACCATGCAACTCTGAAGCCAGCAATAAGGAGCAGATATGTGCCTCATGAAAGAGGTGAAAATCGGTGGTCATGGGACTTCTTCGAGATTAGGCACCGCCTCTTCATCCTTGAATGTAAGCCTTAAGCGCTCCTTCAGAATACCGAAAAAGCTGAAGTATTCACCTACGCATCTCCTGTTTTGATAGCGAGCCCTGCTCTCAAATGCTCATTTAGCGAAATAGTCATCCTGTGCTGTTCCTGAGCCAAGACTGATGGTGGCCTAAAAGAAACGGAATCTCTTCGCCATGGTCCTCAGATCCTCCAAGGTGAAACCGCTGAAGTGGCCCTTTGCCACCGCCTCCTCCGCGACCTGAATTGCAAGAGTCAGAGCATTCTGCGTATCAGAACCGCTCCAACGCGTTTCCTGGAACTTTTGGCGACGACCTTCACTTCGTTCTGCCACTACCAACTTCCCTTTCCTCACGTAAAGCGTCACTGTCGCAACACGTTCAGCGTGATCGTAAGGACCACCGCGAAGAATACCGAAGTCGGTGGAATGATAGGCCTGGAAAGTAATGCGCCTGAAGATTGCTGATGGTCCCGCGCCTGTTATGATACGCTCAAGGATGGGATGGATATCTAGTAAGCCGAACTGACGCGAAACCCAACTTCTGTGCTCAGCGTCCGAGGTGGCATTAGATTTCAAGTTGGCGGAGAATGGAACACAGCGATGGAAATCTGTTCCCACGAAGAGGCACAAATGGCACGTGGTGAAGAGTACTGCGAGAGATTCGTGAAGCACTGCCTTGCTGACTCGAGTAATCGGTGGCGGCTTAAGGTTGGTGAGATTCCAACTGTGGTCGTCGATGAGATCTGATGTCGCGTAGCTATAGATCCGGTCCCTCAGCTCTGGTGGAAGATCGAGGAAGTGAAAGGCTGCGGTAGACACTGAGTGAGCGGGGATGCCTGGTGAGCTTTTCTGCGTCAGTTGCTTGAAATACACAAGTTCAAGATGAGCCCCAGACAGACCTTGGAAGACCTTCTGCATGAGGGCGATCGCTGGTAGTCATGGCATCGACAGCGAGCGCTGGCCTCTTGTCGGATCTCTTGCGGTCTGGCATAATGTGCTGTACGGACCTTTAAACGCAAGGCTGGTATTTGATAGAGTCACAGTAGCGGAATAACTTCCTGGATATGAGCTTCACTTTGTGAAGACTTCACTCTCTCAAGCTCGAGTCCACCAAGGCTCACTTTTGACAACACTAGGTAAAGCCACGTGCTGCCCGATCCGTGCGCAAGCTCAACCGCGTCGACCCTGAAGCTTCACTTCACTCCCTCACTTCTGCATCACATGCAACCCCCTGTCACCGGGTCTTCTGACTCGCCACCCAATCTATAAGGTAGACCATCGCAACCTCTATCCACTCTACCACCTTCTGTCGACAACACACCACCTTCTGTCGACAAACCGACAAACCACCACCACCTTTCGACATCCAGCATCACCACTCTGTCATCACCGCACTTCTAACTGCCCAAGATGTCCATCCCACTGAAGACCCGCATTGAATCACTCCCACAAGAGCTCTACGACGAAATCCGCGCCCTCGTCTTCACGCCCCTCGAACCAGAAGAAGTCATCCACATCACACCATCTTTCAAGCCCCCAGCAGTCACACTAGTCAACCGACACCTGCGCGACACCAACCTCCCAATCTTCAACACCTGGATCTTCATCGGCAACGACATCGATCTCCCGCGCTGGCTTACCTCGAGGGAGGAAGATCGGGAAGTCTGCTATGATGTCCGCTGCTGGACTTTCCGGAGACCGAAGCCTGCAGCTCTAACGAGCTTGAGCGCGACGGCTTATGTGAAGAATACGTCATGGAGGGTCTTCCAGAGACGACTCAAAGAGTGCGAGTGTTTTTTTGGGGTGGATTTTTATGTTTATGAGGATCAGGTATGTTTGTTCCACACGGACAAGGCTTTGAGGATTGTTGCGTTCATTTACTGACTTGTCATGTTCTTTTCAAGGCTGTTGCTGGTAAGGGAGCGGTCATCGAATGTTCTGCGGGTTGATTTTCAGAGGGACTCATGGCTGGTGGAGGCGTCATGGAATGATTGAATGTAGGTGGAGAGAGAGACCAATAGGGTGGCGAACATGGCGAAGTGAAAGCTGCGGCGAATTAGAAGTGGCGATGTGAAAATCAGAATGTCAACGGGATTGCGAGTGCAGAGGCTATAGCATGTGGCAATGGATGGGAGTACAATTATCTGACTTGATGCACTGTATGAGCGGAATGAGATGCCTAATGAAATCAAGTGCCCAGCTCAAACCCATTCGCCACCCGCACAAAACTCAGCTCGTGGGTATTTTCGAGGGCGGCACTACCCGAAATCGCACATCCGTATACTGCTTACCAAGCCGATTTTCGTCAATCGCAAGTGTCCCCAGTCTTCGCTTAAGAAGGCCTTCTATCACAAGCGAGATCAGGTCTCCAGTAAAGTGACTTCGAGATCTGATGCAAATCGCCGACCGTAAAGCCTTTGAAGTCAGGTCTGCTCGAAGACGTGTTGACGACCTGCTTCAGGTCTGCCACAGCCTCATCGATCTTGCCAAACGCGCTTGGGCGGTAATCATACCTAGCCAATCCATGCTCATCATGCCACACTACCTTTCCTTTCTCGACCTTGAGGTGCACGAAAGCCAAGCGCTTCTTCTCCCTGTGCTGCTCCACCTTTTCCGCCAAAAGCTCGGTCCGCGCCCCTTTGCCCAGTACCGATGGCCTGTCACGCTTGTATCGTACCAGCGGGATGTCGTGCGTATTATAAATGCTGATAGTGACATCCTTGAAAATTGCCCACTTGGCAGCGCTCTTGAGAAAGCTTCTGACAACAGGATTCAGACCCATGGTCCCGCAGTCTTGCACCGGGTCGTAAGCTGGAGGCCATCTCTGGTAGCCGTTGGTGGCATCGCAACGATGCCTGATGTTAGTCCCGACACAGAGATCGAATGCGCGACTTTCGAAGAGGTAGCCCATGCTCTCCTGTCGCAGCTGGCGTGACACTCGAGAGATGGTTGGAATACGGAGTGTGGCCAGATCTCGATGGCGTGGTCGCGATTCATCTGCATCAGACATGCAGTCTTCGTACACTTGGTTTCGGAGCTCGGGAGGCAGTTCCAGAAATGGGAAAATGGAGCGCACACTCGTCGCAGGCCGTAGGCTGGTGCTGCATCCGGCAGTCTGCGGTAGTGACATGACTTCTTTCCCTGCCATCTGCTTTGAGGTCTCGCGACGCTTGGAAATTCTTGAAGCGGTGGCTTTCATGTTGAAGACTTGGGAGGTGAATTATAGCGTTTGCGCAGTCGTTACTTTGGTCTCGTCAGGTGCTCAGCTTCTAGATTTTCAGACGCCGATCAAATGTCGCCAGCTCGTTCCAGAATTGTCGAAGTTCTGAGAGCTCGACTGCGTAATAAGCTGGTAAGCTGCATTTGCGTTTGAAGCGATCCAAAAAGTGAGGTCGGCGCCGGCGCCTGCTGCGCACCTGTGCAGCCCCCACACTTTTCAGCCTCAATCTGAGCCTGTGATGCAGAAGGCGGCCAGACTTAGAAACATTGCTTGAACAGCTATCTACACTTCACCGGCCATATAGCGAAGGAATGTGCCTCCACGGATATCTCGAATCCTCCTCCAACGCCCAGTATGCTTTATCATAACTCATTGAACAAACGCCGTGCTGCCACGCTCGAAATTGTCGTCGATGAAAACCTTCCTTCCATTAGCTCATTTCCATGCCTTCATCGTCACCGTCACCTTCCTCCTCGCCGTCCGCCGTAGTGCCACTTGTGCTCCCTAAACGACCTCGTTTGCGACCATTACCCCACAGCATTCCACTGCCCAGCCGAGCGCCTCCAAGACCTCCGACAGCTTCCAACTCGTCGCCTCCAACAACGCGACCTTCAGCATCAACGCCTTCGCAAAGCTCTAGCATCGCTGCACGCTTCAGCCGTCTGAATCCATCAGTCCGCACGATTCGGCCCCAGTGTGTCATGCAGAAGCTCGCTGCTCTTCGCTTGAGCCAATCTTCTTGCGCAGTGTTCGCTCTATCGAATATCAGTGCGCCATGTTGCACGTCCAAGTCTCGTACGAGACGGTTGACGCATAGATGTCGAAGTCGCGGCATGTCGTAAATATTGCTCATCACGAGCATGTTCGCAACGTCTTCGAGAGTCGGGCCACCTACAGCATTACTTTCTGCAGGTGGGCTCGAGATTGAATCTGTGTAGAGGTAGTAGAGGAAGGCCTTGACCGCGGGATACGGCTCGGGTATATGCATCCGTCGTGTGTGAAACTCAGACATCTGAGCATTGTACAGTCGTGCGAAATGCGGCCAGCGAGCGCTGAGGATGAGTCGATGGACATGAATTGGCGGTGATGTATTGTTGCTTGCCTCTGCAGAATCTGCCACACTGCCAGACATGGTGCCGTCATCGGACATGCCATCGATGTCGTATGTGTCATCCCGTAGAGCCGTGATAGTAAAGTCGGTTCCAGATCCACTTTCAGGTGGCTGATTGAACGTACGCGCCAAGTCGGCTCCAATAGCAGAAAGGTGAGATGAGGCATTGGTGTCGGATGTTGGGATCTTTTGCTCAAGGCGAGCTTCTTGACTCAATTTGTTTCCGAGCAGACCGAATTTGCGCAAGTCAATTGGAAGCACATCCGAGAGATATTCTTCAGAGTCGCCACCATTGCCGCCATTGCGCACTTCTCTTGGGCATCCGAGCAGCCAAGCATGAGTGCCGTCTGGATCAAGACAGCAATAATGCCATCGGTAGAGAGGGCTGAACAGGTCCTTGCCATCGGCTAATTTCTGCCATCGCAACGTGTCGAGATCTAATGCAGAGAGAGACGTCTCGAGTGGCATATTGGTCGCTGGTGTCACAAAGTCCAGCATACAGCCAGAGCTGAAGACATGAAAATGAGTGCCGACGTTCTGCATAGGTAAGTTCGGGGAAGAGATGAACTTGACACTGCTGATAGCTCCTGGAGCGACGGGAGGTGCGCGCTGGATTTGAGTCGCCGAGTTCGACTGCACGCCAGTATTTGCAGCATAGCTTGTCATTGCTGGGGCGGGTGTAGGAGTTCCACCATACGTGTAGCTCGAATATCGCTCCATAGGCCTGCCACTCTCTGAGCCGGTCCCATAGCTCGGACCTCCTTCGAAAGCTGGAGAGCCCCGAAAGTCAAGCCACCAGATCTCACTTGTGCGCTCCATTTCTTCGCCCATTCCACCGCTCACCCAGATCTTTCCGCCCCAGACCCAACTCGAGTGATCAAATCTAGGCACAAATCGCCATGTTCGGCTCCAAGTCCAGGTCTTGAGGTCAAGATAGCATATATCGTCCAGCACTCCATTGTCGCTTCCACTCATGCCTCCACATATGAAGAGTTTGTCATCCTGAATGACTGCAGAGTGCCTCGCTCTTCCTCGAGGTATGGGTCCATTGATCTCAGGCTGTGTCCAGTGCGCAGTCTTGATATCAAAGATCACGACGTCGGACAGATGCTGTCTGTGTTCGTTCTCGCCGCCATACACCAACAGCTTGTCTCCTTGCCATAAGCACGAGGTGTGGCCCATTCTCACACCCGGGATGTCGCCGTAGTTATCCACGAGGCTCCATTGTCGCGCAGCCAGATTAAGCTTCAGGACGTGGTTGTAGACTTCATCGGTGTACTGGTCGAACCCCCCAAACGCGTAGATCAGATCATTTCCAACATACGTCACCGAGGCATTCACCAAACATGCCGGACGCTGCCCTACAGTTGTGATTATCTTGGGCATGTAAGGCTCGGCAGTTCTGCGCCTGCTGTTCTTGGTCGGCGAGCCGCTCATGACATAGGTATTGTTCGACATGCTGGAGATGCGCGAGGCTCCCGCGGAAGCCATTGAAGGGGCGGAGGGACCAGCAAGTGCCGCAGGGAACAAAGGCGGCAGCGGAGGCTGGTGGGTGGAGACGGAGGGGCGGAATGTGGTGGGTACGTCGTCCATGCACTTTACAGCTTGCGCATTATCGTGGGGAGTCGCAGCGACTTCCGCGTTTCGTCGAGGTGAGAATCGTGCACGCGGGCGACAGTCGTACTGTAGTGAGGCTGGCTCGGCGGGCTGGTTGCCACTGCCGCTGCCGCTGCCGCTGCCAGGGTAAAGTTTCGTTCCTGCACCTGCATCCTGGGTGTAGCGGACAGATGAAGGTTCGATTACTCATCGTGACGTCGCTGCGTTCGGACTTCCCGCAGACCGGCGAGGTGCCAGGTGTCTGTAGGCTCGATATTGTCTACAATTATTAGTAATGCAATATCTGTAGGCAGCAACGGAGCGAGAACGGAAATCGTGGCCTTTGAATCAAATATCTCCATTTGCAAGGGTTGCTGCTTATTGTTGCGGTATCGTGATTTTGTCGTGGTCTCGGTTAGTCCCGAGATATCGCTTAGTAGCTCGTTGCTCTGTGCACCAGATCCGAAAGCGAGTGTCAACAGTCCTTACAAAATCCTACTTTCCTCCCGCTTTCCTACTCTTCCTCTTCTCCTCACCCATCCCAAAGACCAAAATCTTTCAGCAAGGCTATCACAACGCTTTCAAGGCTCTGAGCCCTGCCAAACAACCCTACAAGTTACAGACCGACAAATACCTGCATCCACACTAACAGGTACTCTTGATCGAGACCATCTGCTACAGCATCCACATTTTCAACGCCAGAAAAAAATCATTTTGCAGATATGGCAACTGCTTCGGTCTTAACCCCCATCAAGCAGAGACGCGATGGCGTCTTCGGCGCGCGCCTCGCCGGCGGTTGTGCACCTCTCACACCGTCGCCACAGTCAACACCAAAGACTGCCAACATCGAGGCTGGCGAGAGCATCCATAGCAACAACATCAACATCAACCTAAACGCCCGATTCTCACGTGCCCAGAGCAAGACCAACGTTCGTGATTCACCAAAATTCAATATTGCCCGTCGTGGACCACAATCACCACGCAATCTCCAACAAGTCACAACAAACGACTTTGCCCTCACCGGCACGGGCCCAAACCCAAGTACAAGTACATCCACAAAGAACACTCCATCAAGAATCCACAACGCACGGTCTAGCTCTGTCCACCGAACACCAAAGAGAAATCAAGGCAAAATCAGCTACAAGGATGCCGATCGCTTCATTCCAAACCGTGACACTGAAGCTATCTCCGCCCAAATCGCAGCAATCAAGCTTGATGGCGAGCGAACTCCAGGACGACGCCCCAAGTCGAGCGCCTCTGATGGGTCGGCACACCTCGCCGGTGTTGCCAGCGCTTTCGACTTCGGCCGTCCACGCTCATCACACGATGTCCTCGCATCACTTTCTCTCGAGGATCTCAACCTCGATGACAACGACTCGGACGACGAGAACGATGACGAACCAACCAAGAAGCAGAGCCCTAGCACCACCGCATACAAGCAGGCCCTCACTGAGGCCTGCGGTGTTGGCCACAAGACGCGCATTCTCGCCTTCAAGCCTGCTCCTCCAGAGTCATCCCGTCCGATCGACCTCCGATCTCAATACAACCGGCCGCTTAAGCCAATTGCCGCATCGGCATCGCAGTTCAAGCGTCGCGTGCTTACTGCACCCGAGCGTGTGCTTGACGCTCCCGGCCTAGTCGACGACTACTACCTCAACCTTCTCGACTGGTCTTCTGGCAACCAAGTCGCCATCGGTCTCGACAAGAGTGTCTATGTTTGGTCTGCGGAGACAGGCTCTGTGCAGAGCCTCTTCGACTGCCCTTCTGACACATACATCTCATCGGTCAAATGGAGCGGCGATGGTGCCTATGTCGCCGCCGGTCTCGGTACTGGCGAAGTCCAGATCTGGGATGCCGAAGACGGCACCAAGCTCCGATCGATGTACGGCCACGACTCTCGCGTCTCAGTCATGGGATGGAACAAACATATCCTCTCTACTGGCGCACGCAGCGGCCTTGTCTACAACCACGACGTCCGCGTCGCACAGCACAAAATTGCTGAACTTATCTCACACACCTCCGAGGTTTGCGGCCTCGAATGGCGCCCTGACGGCGCCCAGCTCGCCACTGGCGGCAACGACAACATCGTCACAATCTGGGATGCTCGCTCACTCAACGCTCCCAAGTTCCAAAAGACCAACCACAAAGCCGCTGTCAAGGCTCTGGCTTGGTGCCCATGGCAAAGCAACCTCCTTGCCACTGGCGGTGGATCTCACGACCGCAACATCCACTTCTGGAACACCACGTCTGGAGCCCGTGTCAATAGCATCGACACCGGCAGCCAAGTCACCTCCCTTCGATGGAGCACAGCCTACAAGGAGCTTGTCTCCTCCTCTGGCTTCCCAGACAACTCCCTGTCCATCTGGCAGTACCCATCTCTCGTCAAGAACATCGAGATCCCAGCTCACGAGTCGCGGGTTCTGCACTCAGCCCTCTCACCAGATGGTCAGATGCTCGCTACCGCTGCTGCGGACGAGTCACTCAAATTTTGGAAGGTCTTTGAGAAGAAGCCAGGTTCGGGCAACCTCGTTGGCGCTGGCAGTGCTAACGTCAAGGCCTCTCTGACCAAGGCAACCACTATCAGGTAGAGAAGCACAGCTGTTGATAATCACATTCATACATCGATGTGAGATATCGTCTGTGGCGCCTACCGTGGTTAGCAAATGAAAGTTGTGTTGCGATCTTTGCAGATCGCAGTCGTCACAACGGAGTTCGGTGGAAAATGGAGTTGTGCTGCGATCTCTGCAGATCGCAGTCGCAACATGTTTTGGTATGGCAATGGGGGGGGTTTTTTTGTTTGCACATTTGCGCTCCGCGACAAGTTCTTACCGCGTAGAAGCAGCCTGATGGAATGAGGATTGGTGTTCTGCATAATAGCGCTCCGCGACAAGTTCTCTCGCGTTGAAGCAGCTTCATGGTATTTTGGATGGTGGACTTTCAGCGCTCCGCGATCGTCTCTTCCGCGTTGTAGCAGCTTAATTGGATGTGCAGCGGCACTTGGGTTTGAGCTGTGGTCTTTACAAACAGCAGCATGGACTGTGATGGCATTCAATGAAACGATGTGCAAACAAATCTTTTGAATTTTCCTTTTTTCTGTGCTCGTGAGGTGATTGATGTGTTGATCCCATTGTCGTCTTGGCTGAAGAAATCGTGAAGTGTATAAGTTTCCGAATTGACGCGCGTGGTGGGAGTCTTGGTGACATGACAGCCTCGTTGATGGAAGTTCATCGTAGAGACTTCATTTGCAATATTCTCGTGCATTAAATGTTTGATCGTAAGTTAGTCAGATCGCTTGAAGGCTGCATGAGTTCTTGCAAGATCTTTGCCGTGTCACTCGCACTTCCCATCTCACAACCTCGCCAAACCCCTCCAATCAACATCCACACTCGGCTCAAACGCAAGGTCATAATTCTTCCACATCTTCTCTTCGTCACCATCCTCCACAAATCCTGCTCGTGCCTCAACATCCTGTCCTCCAGCTCGCATCCAGAAATTGGCGTGCTTCAAAGGTAAGTAGAGACGTTGAGTATGATTTTGACACCAGGGTGCTTGGTAACCGATTGCGATCATGACTCTGTTGTGTGAGGAGGCTTTGGGCATTCCTGCGTGCCTGATATCAAGAGGTTGAGCATGCGAGGCAATCCTTCTCAGGTGCTGAGGCCTGCTCGAGATCGCTGACAGATAGGCGGAGGGCAACCATATCCCGCCTAATATCTGCAGGCCCAGATGCCGGGGTTTCCAAAGCTTCATTCTTGAGCTCAATTGAACTTCAGCTACGTAGGTGGATGAGCTCGACGCTGGAAAAGTAACAGCAGATACATTGTCTGCTCCTGACCGCAGAAGCACTGAGAGATCTTGAGCCAGGAGGTCAGGATATGCGCTCGCTTGCTTCCTTCGACTCCACCAAAGCGTCATCATCTGGGCACCCGAGAACACAGTTCGTGGGCTGAGCAGTTCCATGTCAGCTTGAGTCGATTCCATGCCTTGTGAGCCGTTGCACTCGCCTTTTGCGCCTCCAAAGCACGTTCGTCTCACGAAAGGTCCCAGATCCTACCCGGTAAGTACTGCCGTATTGTCAATCACGGAAGCATGGATATGCAAGAGGGATGCCATCTGTATTTCACCCTTTACGCACTCCGACAAGTTCCAATTTCTGTTAAGCTCCAGGTTATACCCGAGACGCATTACCACGCTGCCATCCCCAGAAGCGCGAAGAAGCACATGAGACGCCAGCTGTATATTGTTATTGTCCTCTTCACCCTCCATCACGCTCCTACACCCATAAGCTTCCAAATTGCACCCAAGAGGCGTTGCTACATTGCCACCCGCAGAAGCATTGAAAAGCAGGCGAGATGCCAGGCTTACTCAACCTGTCTCACACTCCATCCCACTCCAATGCCCGCGAGGATCGAGACCATACCTAGTCAGCATTGTAGCACATCTTTCATGGAAGCGTCGAACAAGTGAACCCACAAACCTCTCATTACACATTACCTACCCTCGCACCACCAACGCCTCACCTAACGCCCGCTCCAATCCCCACGCCATCTTAACCCATGCTGCTTTAAACTCTGCTGCCACTGATGCCGCTGCCGTCGCCGAAACACAAAAGGAAAACGCCAAAAAGCCAAAAAAACGCGAAAACTTACCCAATGAGCTTCTTCAGCTCACTCATCGCCGCCTCCACCTTCTCCTGCTCCTGGCTTTCTACCAAAAGGTAAAGCCTAGGCTCACCACCCGGAGTCGCGACGTCTCCAGGTGGATAATACCTACCCTTTTGCGTAATACTCACCCCACCCACCATCTCCAAAATCTTCGCCTGCTGCGTCCTACTCACCAGCTTAGTTCTCACCTCTCTCGAGACATCGTTGATCTCGAGAGCGTCTTGAAACCGCCCTGCGTCGCGGTGTGGGTTCTCTTTCATGGAGAAGCGCGACGCAAAGCTTGACTCCATCTCCAGGCGAGACTTGATATTTGCTGCTACGGCTGCAGCCTTGGAGAGCTTGGGATCAGGGAGTTGTTGCGAAGGATGGTTCTCCTAGATACTCTCATCTCGCTTCAACAGTCTGATGCCTTGTAGCTCTGTCCATTGCATGGTTCTCGGCTCCTCCTCTTCTCCGTCCTCGCTGAAGCTTTCCATCTCGAACTTGCTATATACGCGATTTCCATCTTCATCGTACTGCTTTGCGCGACTCGGAGCTTCGGTAACGGTCCAGCCCTCGATGGTCTTGCTGCCGAGCTTGGCTAGCTTGGTGACGGTCTGAGGTGCCCAAGAAGTGGCTGCAGAGACTGAGAGTTCCTCGAAAACCACGACATCGCCTTCCTTGGCATCGGCCTCGGCGAGTGTGGGTAGCTCGGTAGTGTCTTTTGGCAATTTCGGAAAGCCATTGCTGGGATCAGTCTCGGATTCGATATCTTCGTCATTCTCCAGGAGCGCGCCTTCCTCCCAGTATGAGTCGTCAAAGTCATCCTCGTCGTCCTCGCGGTCGTCATAATTAAGTGCATCGCGGCCTCCATTTTGGTTGTACTTATCGTAAGTCTCCACGTAGTCTTCATGGCTGCCATTCGCCCGGACTCTTCTCTTCTTGTTCCGCTTCGACTTGGTGCTACTCGCGGCGCGCTTCTTGGTGTACTGATATTGTGGGTCCCATCGCTGCTGGAAGGGAAAGTCTGGCGCGCTGAGCTCGACACCCTCATCAAGACATTCGACAGCTGTCAAGTTAACCTTTTGGCGCCAAGCCTCGGGATCTTCATCATCTTCGACAGTCTGCTCGTTTTGCAGTACAGCTGCTTGTGCAGGCAGCGACTTCTTAGGCCGGGCTGCAAGCTTCTTCTGTAACGCGTCGCGGTCTGCTTGTGTTTTAGGCGTACGAAGGCCGAGGGAGCTAAAGACCATTCGGTTCATGCCTTTGAGGTCGAGACGGGCGCGTCTGGTAGGTGCTTCGGATTCACCTCCTACCTCGTTGATGTATGGGTTGGCTTGTTCTACAATAGCAGGCGGTTCCTGTGGCCCCTCGGTCGCTGGAATTGCTTCCACGATAGGCTTTTCGGGTCGATGCACAGGCTCTTCCTCTGGCGGCTCATCACCATCTGTGGACTGGAGTTGACCATTTGTTGCAGGGACATCGCTGACATCTATGCCGCCTTGAGCGATCGGGTCAAGCAGTTGCTGTCGGTCGTGTTCCATGTTCGCGAGCATTTTTTGCCGATCGTGTTGCATATCGTACTCGTACAGATCCTTGAGCGCGGCAGTCGGAGGCAGAAGTCCTTGATCCTTGAGGCACTTCAATTTCTTGGTGTCGCGGCGGCGCACGTTTCGGTCCTTTGTCTTGCTCTGACCCTCGTGTGGTGGAGTGTTTGAAGAAGCGTTGGCAGCTCTGACTATTTTGTGCTGCTCGGGAGTAGCGGCGGCAGAAGGTTTGTTGGTTTGTGGGTTGTCGGTGACGATGACCGTGTCAACAGATGCGATGTTATCACGGTCTTCGACGCCATCCCACGAAACCTCACTCGAGCTGTCCGAGTCACTCTCACTTTCACTTTCACTTTCACTCTTACTCTCACTCTCACTCTCACTTGAGTCGCTAGAGCTGTCGCTGTCGCTTGAATCACTATCCTCTTCCGAACTCTCATCGCTGTCGTCCGACTCTTGTTCGCTCTCCACAGCGTCCTCCAGCGCATCCTCATTGAAATCTCCATCGTCTTCGTCATCCTCATCGTCCTCATCCAGTATCTCCTCCTCCTCCTCCACCCGTACCAATGCCTGCTCGTCACCATCTTCTAGCTCGACCCTCTGCTTCTTTCTCGGAGGTATGCGCACGTCCGGTCGCCTCGGTCTCTTCAGCAGCGGCTTCCCAAAAGGGACGCCATCCAGCAAATGACGTCCATCCTGCGTGATTTGGTCTCTGCCTGTCAAAGTCCTCGTCCTCAACTCCGCAAAACCTAGCGGTTTGATCACCACCTCGTCTTCGTCTTTGAACGTGTTGCCAAGCTCGGAATAGTGCGTCGCTTCGTAGCCGGCAACCGTGACTGAGTAGTCGTCTAAGCCCCAAGTATTGCCTTCTAACGGAAACCGCTCATTTACGCGTTCGAGGAACTGTGAGATGGTATTATTCGTCTCGGTGGGCTCGATGCTCCATAGCACTTGCACAGCTGGCAATTCGTTGCGTTCGATTCGGACGCGGAGACGCATTGTGCTGGTGTGCGCCGAAACCAGTGCGTCTTGCGGGTGCGTTGTCGTTTGTCGGTGGCCACGCAGAAAAAGAAGCAGCAGGTGCTCAAGAACTAGTGAAGCTTGGACCCTGCAGCGGGGTTAGTCAGCATGCAGCAAATCGGAAGGCACGCATGTGAAAGGCAAGAGCAAGTCTGAACACATGCATTTCTACGATATATCTTTGCGCAATCTGGGTATCTAAGTCTAGACATTACTACTGTATCACACATTTGCTGCCATTTGCTGCCTCCTTCTCAAGCTCCATCACCCTTCCCTCTACCCTGCCGACGCTCTTCTCGAAATCACTAACTCCTGCTTCAACGTCCTCTACCTTGCCTCGCAGCCCACCAATCTCATACTCCAGCTTCGCAGCCAGAGTCTCTATCTCTTTGACACCTTCTTCCAGCCTTTCTTTTTCCTCACGTTGGACGGCGCCTGCGTGCGTTTCAAGCTCTTTGACGGTCCTCAAGTGGGGCTGATGGAGCTCGTCGAGCGTGTCTTGGTCCTGGTCTAGTCTCTCGAGTGTTTCGCGAAGCTGATGCAGTTCCTTCGAAGTCCACGTTGCAGTCTGAAGCTGCAGTGCGTTGATCATGCGCCTGAGATGTCTCGCTTCCGCTGCTATATACTGCTGCTCCGCCAACTGTGCCCGCGTGGATGAGAACGGATCATATTCGTCCTGACCGAGCGGCTCCCAAGTCAGTAGACTCTCTTCGGCCAAGCTGAAGCTTAGATGTCGTGGCGCAAGACCACTATGATCAGGCTGCAGCTCTGCCTCCACATACTGCGAGTATGAGACGGTCCGTTTTAGCAGTGTCGATAGCCCAGCTTCAGTTTCAGGTCCGGTAGGTAGTGTGTCGTTCAGATCGATGCCTTTGTAAATGGAACCTGCCACTGACGCCTCGACGGAAGGACCTGTGCTCTCTTTACTGCCCGACCTCTGCTGCTGATTGCTAGAGACGTTGCTATTCTCCTTCTGCAAGCCTGAGAACCCTGATGCCTGGAAGCTTTCCTGTGACACCAGACGGCTGTTGTTACCTTCCATGAGTGACCTCGTGTCAGCAGTGTCAGGTCGGCTGTCACCGAGTGCAACGTTCAGCCGATTGCTCTGCTCTTGGGCCGCAGGTGTCAGTCGCTGCATGTGTTGTTCGGTAGATAGTTCAAGACTGGAGGGGCTGCCAAGTGGGCTTGTATGGGATCGGTTGATCAGCGGTCGCCTACTTGGTCTCTGTTCCACAGGTGACCTTGGCACAGGTTCATCGACTGACGGCTTCGGCTTGTGACCACGGAAGCCTACGGCTCCTCTGACCTTCTCAAGTCCTGCTTTTGGCTTGTCCTTCAACGTTGTAGCCCTGTGAAACATCGATGGTCTATTGATGTCAAGCGACGGCCTGCCAATGTAGTCGTCCCCAAACTCATCTCTTTCTTCGACTGGGGTGGGTGCGACGAAGTCGTGATATTCTCGCTCCTGTTCTCGGCGCTCCCCTGGAGGCATGCCGTCGAAAGTGCTTTTCCTGCCGGACGTCCAAGTGTAGCCACCGTGCTCATCAGACTTGAATATCAGTCCTTTGTTCAGTGCAGGCGCACCTTGTACCTCCTCGGGCACGCGCTCCGCTCCATCTGGCACTTTAGACTTCTTCATCGGCTTGCCCAGCCATAGCCATTTCGCTCGATCACCATGAACAAGCTGGACAAAGCGGTCTATGTCCACAGTCTCAACCTCAGCGATGCTGGCACGATCTCGTCTTCCGACGATATCGCCGATCATCTCACCTCCTCTGCCGCTCAGCTCTGCGACAGTTGATTTGACTGCCTTCGGTACTGCCCATCGCTCCTTTTCGGCAGCTTTTTGGGTCGCTTTATGCAGTCGATCCAGCGTTCGTCGGTCCAGCCGACGTGTGCGTTGTATTCGTTGCTGCTTTTGAAAGGCACTTATGCCTTGTTTCATTGCTTCGACATCGAATGGGTCTTTGGGTACAGGTGCGTTCATGGCATGCAGTCGGTTGCGTGCACCCATAAGCAGACCAAGCAAGCCAGCTACCGTTGTCGGCCCCAAGATGCCGTCATGCGGCTCGACATTATAATAGTCATTGCCAATTTCGACCCACCAGTCATTGATGGCTCGCTCGGTGACGTCGCACAACAGGCCATCAGAATAGTCAATCTCGAGCTTGTCGAATAGCATGAGCGCGCTTTGACAAAGCTTGATCAGTTCCAGGACCGATTTGTAGATGTCGTTCTTGTCGCTTGTTCTGTATAGCTGATGAAACTTGGCTACTGTGGACGCTGCTGGCTGAGCCAATGTCAAGCCCACTCTGCCAGAGCAGCCCAGGCGTTTAAGGTCTTCATTGACGAAGAAGTCGAACCTATGCTTCCTCACATCGCCGTCGGGAACAGGTATGATGGCGAGAGAAGATGGAAAGCCAGACAAGTTTGTGACCATCAGTACGCCCAGAGGTGTCTCGCGCCGCCTAGCATGATATTGATTAAGTGCTTTGAAATAGACTCGCAGTCGAGGCGACCAGACATGCTCATCTGTTGGTACGCTGAGAACATCAACCAAAACGACGTCCTTCTCGTCTCCAGTATAGTTTGTGATCATGAATGTTGGGTGCATACGGGAAGTGGTCCATTGTTCCACAATGTAGCATTCATAACCCCGCAGCTCTCGTCTCCTTTCCAGAACATGTGTTGAAGCATCTTCTTCGAGATACTTGAAAGCGACCGGATCTGTAAGTACAAATGGTTGATGGCCGCCTTTCGTTGCCGGACGTCCTCGGGCCTCTGAGTATCGACCCTGATCATATGGAGACTGAGGCCTGGGCGATGTGGGCGAATCCTCGTTAGGACTTTGGTGTAGGTAGTTGGTCTGCAGAGGAGGTGGACGGAGCTTTGCTCGATCTACCGAAGATCTTGCGGCTGTCATGATTGTACCAAAGTGTCACCGAGAAGTAGTGTGACGGTGACAGGGGCTGTGCTGCTCATGGTCACGATGTGTTGACTGTACCAAGCCAAGCCGGTTGTCGTCGCCAGATCCCGCCTCGCCGTTCGGCCGTACTACCGCTTCTTCAGATGGGCCATCCGTATTTCTTCCACTTTGGTTTTGTTGAACGCGAGGTAATGTTTCTGGGAGGAAGATGCGCGGTGAGACGAAACGTCACTTTCATCCGAGTTCAGCCGAACAAAAGCCGTTGAAGCGAGAGCTCTCACGTGGTCGCTGCCCAGCTCACATGCATACAGTACTCTAACTTGGAGTTGGTCGCAAGTCTCACGCCTATGACCCGAGATCCGAGATCCAGCAGACTGATCGATCTATATCAAGCAGATGTAGAGCACGTGCCTACAGTCAAGTCGCCGTTCGTACAGAACTAAGCCATATCGCCTGCCATCTCGCCTCGCCTGCCACTGCCACGGCCACCGCCACCGCCACTACCACTGCTACACCTCACCTTACCTCACCTCACCTCACGATCGTCCACTATGGAGGGGATATTGGCGGCTCACGAGTTGCAGGAGAAGAAAGGGAACCTACGAAAGACCATCACCGACGTTCAGGCTCTGATCGACCTCCTTCAGAGCACACGCGATGCCGTCGCCTCCGACCCCACCAAGTCAGCTCTGCACATGGCCAAGCTGCAGAATCCCGTAAAACAGTCGTTTAGCAAGCTCGAAGAGGATTTGAAGGAGGTCAACAAGGGCATGAACCAGTACCAGAAGGCACTCAAGGATAAATTCAAGAGCGCTGCACTGCCCACCGCCGGCAACGATGCCTTGTCGAGCCAGCCGAATCTCATCAATCGTGCTATCGCCATGCATCTGCTTCGCGAGGGGAAGTTCAATGTTGCCAAGACATTCGTGAAAGAGGTAGCCGCCCAGCCACATTCAAGTGGATCAGAGGCACAAGATGGACTGGGAAGAAGCTGGATTACCGATCTGGCCGACACAGACGACCTGATGACCGATGGCCTGGAAGCGGTAGCCCAGGGTGAATTGGAGAAGAGTGGACTGCAGAGGAAATTCGCTGACATGTACCACGTCTTGGACGCGTTGCGGAATCACCACAATCTGGAGCCAGCAATAGAATGGGCAAGACAGCACAGCTACGAGCTCGAGAACCGAGGTTCAAATCTGGAGTTCGAATTGAGCAGGCTCAAGTTCGTAGAGCTGTATACGAGCACTTCCTCGGATATGACAGACGATGACCCCGATCCATTCAGTGGACCACTGCGGGCACTGGAATACGCACGAAGCACGTTTCCGGCTTTCAGCACCAGATACGCCCGCGAAACATCGTCGTTGCTGGGATCTCTCCCCTTCTCGGAAAATTTGGCGGCATCGCCATACAACACATTCTTCAGCAGTCCCACCTCGTACGAAGAAGCCTCTGCATCTTTCACGCGGGACTTCTGCGGCATGCTCGGCCTTTCGTCACAGTCACCTCTTTACACTGCAGTAACAGCAGGTGGCATTGCGCTACCTGTATTGGAGAAGGTGGAACGAGTCATGGCACAGGCCAGAGGGCAGTGGACATCGGTGAACGAATTGCCAGTCGAAACGCCTCTACCACCGGGCTTCGCTTTCCATTCAATCTTCGTATGCCCGGTATCGAAAGACCAGGCAACGGATGCGAACCCGCCAATGATGCTGCCCTGCGGGCACGTCATCGCAAAACAAAGTCTAGAGATGCATAGCAAAGGCAAGAGCAGGATGAAATGTCCTTACTGTCCGAATGAGAGCCACCCGAAAGAAGCGAAGAGGGTGTACATATGAGGAGCACGACGTGAAGAGGAGCATTGATATCGCTGTGAGGACCGAATATGAACCGACATGACATGAGTTCAGAGTCATCGAACTTTCAATCCTTCGATGGCGTATCTCATTGACAAGAAATCACAAGACCCCCTTTGGTCGTTTTGGAACCCATCACTTCTTGCCTTGAACAAAAGCCAAAAGAACTAGACATCCATCCATCCTTAACATGAATCCCTCAACTTGGACCTTCACACCAAAACGCCAAAAAAGAAACTCTCCTACAGTTACGATACCACACGGAGTGGCGTCATCAGAGATAAAGATGAACAGCTTTCGCGGTTTGATGCTTTGTATTGTCCTGCCTGACAGGTCTCATTACGAGTCGATAACTCGCCGATTGCAGGGTTCTAGAACCAATCGCCTTCACCACTAGACTACCATTGTAGACATGGACAGGCTTTCTGATTGGTCTATGAATTCAAGTGAAGTTGAGAGTTGTTATAAAGCTCAATCGGACACGAAGCGGTGAGGATGAGGATGAGGATGAGGATGAGCGGGGCCAGAGGTGAGTGGGATATGGGAGGGAGAGAGGGAAGTGAGGTCGGTAAAGATCGATGGGGACATATACGAAAGTTCTCTTGGATTTGCTGATAACGGAAGCACAAAGAAGAAACATGTCAGCATCTTTAACATACGCTACTTGGCTATCTGAAATCACCGATATGTCTATCATCCATTGCCTTGGTCAACTTCGAAACCAGTCCCCTTGGGGACCAATCTGCTGTCTAGACATGTAGGCAACACTCAAAGCGAAGAATCTCAGGTGCGAGAGTCGTCTGTAGGGATAGAGCCTGTATGGCCTCGGACGTGGGAATAGTCTGTAGAGGCAAGATGGGCAGTATGGAGAGAAAGTCTTCTTTTTGTTCTCAGGTCACGGAAGCAGCGACTTATCTAACGTTCTTTGGCGCCGTCGAATGCTCCTTCAAGGCACTTCACGATGACAAGCTTGAGTCGGCGAGGAATTGAATACAGTATGCCATCCACTGCCAGGCTGGGGCGCACACTATTGGCATCTTGAACCACGACTTTTGCTCCTCCATCACGCTGTGCGAACATCATCAAAACAGTTCTGCTTGAGTTTCGATCTCGCCTCGATTAGGCACCTTGCGCAGTAGGTTTGAATTGGCAGTTGCGCTCCGTATCCGGGGTTTCGTCAAAGCACTCCACCCCGCGGTCGCGGGGGTTTGAGCCATACGCAAAATCGCGATTTGTTAGTAGGCTACACGTGAAACTCGATATAGTCGCACCTTCCAGTCCCATATAGATATCTAGGTATATGAAGTATCGAACCGCTAGTCTAAATATTATATTAGCGAGGTTATCCGAGTGTATAGTAACCGTAGACCTCGCTACCGCTGTTTCTTATATAATCTCCTTAGCCTCCTTAGTAGGCGCGTCTACCTTATTCTAAACGCGTATTCTTCGTATTCTCTTTCTTCTAGTATATATATAGCACCTATTTGTTAGTATAGGGCGTAAGAAGGTCGGAAAGGTTATTAAAAGGGTACGCGCCGAGCGATTAATAGAGATAGAGAGAGCGGAGAGGGTAGTAGATCGAGTAGTTTCGAAGTACCGCGAATTAGAGGCCAAATTGTTAAAAGTTAGCCTTCGAGCGCTTTATAAGAGTAAGAAGGCAGCGGACTTATATTATCGTGTTTACTAGCGGTTAAGAGGTCGTAGATCGCTAATATCGCGTAATGTAATAAATACTAAGCTAGATAAATCTTAGGAACTAGCGCTAGCGGATTATTATCGAGAAAGGGACGAGATAGGTATATTCTTACTAGTAGCGTTAGTCGCTATTATAGCGATAGAAATAATAGTTAGTATACTACTAGAAGGGGTACTAAAGGATACAATCGTACTATTTAGTATAGATTAGGCGGACCGCTTTCTTAGTCGCTATAGACTTAGCAAGGTTAAGTCTAAACCTATTAAGATATAGCGTAAGAAGGCGCACGACCCTTCTACTATAAGGAGCTAGTTTAATAGGTTTAAGGCGATACTAAAGCGACTAAATATAAAGCCGCGGAATATATAGAATTTCGACGAGACTAGATTTCGAGTCGGTATTAGTAGTAACGAGTACGTCGTTATAATAGATACAAAGCGGCGCGCGTAGACCGAGTGTAATAGTAACCGGACGTATATTACTATCGTCGAGAGCGTTAATGCCTATAGTAAGGCAATAGACTATTAGTTAATTATTAAAGTAGTAATAGTTTAAGAGCGTTAGGTCCCTAAAGAAGGTTAGTCTATTACTATTGCCTTAGGCAAGAACAACGTTACCTACTAACAATAATAGGCAAAGATAACTTCCTAATTACTATTAACGACTCTAGCTATATAACAGACGATACTACTATATACTATATCCGCTAGTTTAAACGGAAGACGAGACCTAATAATCCGAATAAGTAGAGGGTGCTATTATACGACAATTACGGCTCCTACTGCTTTAAAGAATTCGCTACCTTTGCAAAGCGCTATAAGATTCAATTATAGGGCCTATAACTATACACTTCGCACTTTATATAACCCCTTAACGTTGTACTATTCTAGGTATATAAGTTAAGGCATAGGCAAGCGGTCTTAGAAGCTACATATCGTAGTATTAGTAAATTTAGTATACCTAAGTTTATATAGGCGCTCTTAGCTATCCGGGTAAAGACTTTTACGAGGTATAATATAAGGGCGGCATTTCGTAAGATAGGCATATTCCTAGCAGATAGGGAGGTCCCTTGCAAGTATATTCGAGATTAGTATAGGGCTACTAACTATAACTAGAACTAGCAAGCAATTGAGAGTAAGCTCTAATAGGAAGAAGCCTAATACGAGGAATCTCTAGTAATAGCGGAGGCCGCTTAGTAGGAGCACTTAGCGTCGGTTAAGTAAGAGCGTTTAGTAGAGCCTACTATTGTCGATCCTAATAGCTAGCATCTCGCTAATAATCGCTCTTACTTATAGGACCTTAAAAACGTAATTGCTTAGGGCATGCTATCGTTACTACTACTACCGCGGCGAATACCTACCCCCGAGTTGCCGGACTAGCTTCTTACTACGATAACGAGCCCTCGGAAGATTAGAGCGTCTCGTAAGGCTATACAAGCTCGCAAGAGCTTCCGACGTTATTATCTAAAACTAGCTCTAGAAGGTATCGACCTATTATTAATATTTAACCCCTTTTCCTCGTCGCCTATAAAGGACGCTAAAAGAGCCTACGAGATATTAGTTAGCGCCGCCATTTACAAAGGCGAGGAATATAAGCGTAAACACTAGTCTACGAGTCTAGTTAAGCGTACAAAGAAGCGCTAGAAGGAGCAACCTAATCGGCTTATAAGAGTAGATACTATCGAGGCAGATAAATTGCGGTTATAACTTATATAACAAGATAAGGACCTAGCTAATAACGACCGCCGGAAGATGCTCTAAGAGGCATAGAGCGTATATAACAAGGCACGCACCTATCGACTTAAGTATAGTAAGGTATTCCGAGTCGTATTTAATAATAATAGTAAGACTAAGTAGATAGACGTTGAATTGTAGGCTATCGATAAGCCGCTACGACGAGTCTTCGATAAGCGACTTCTCGCTTTAGATAACAACCTTATATTAAAGAAGACTAGCGATCTACATACTAAGGATATCTACTTCTATAGGCGCTCTACTTACTCTACCGAGGGCGGCGATATAGTATATACGTAGAGTCCGACAAGGATACTAGAACTGCCGACTCGCACTTGTAACTACGAAGAAGGCGATATTCTAGTATAGACTATTAAGCTAAGGCGACGACTAAATAGTCTATTCGCGTAAGAGCCTAATACACGATTAGACTAGCTATAACAAGACGAGGCGCTACTTAACGAAGATATAGTATACACTATAATTTGGCCTTATTTAGTACCTCCTCGCCGCCGCTACGAGTCTATATAAAGCAAGCGCTATTTCTACGAAGCTCCGAAGAAGTCTAACCGTTATAGAGGCGCTATTGTAATTGCTAGTAGCAAGAGCAACCCTATTAAGCTTAAAGAGGTAGACAGTAGATACAGTAGTTAGCTATTTAGCTAATAAGAAGAGATAGCAATTATATAATAGACATATAGGCCGACTTGTAAGGTAATTGACTATATAGTTAATACGAGGTATGCGCGGAGGCCGAGTATAGGTCTATTTTAACTATATACGTAACCGTATACCGTCGCAATTTAGTCGTTAATATGCCGGAAATCTACTACTTCTTAACTATAATCGCACTTACACTTAGCTTCCTATTATATATGCGTTATAATATACGTTTAATCGAGTTTTGCGTATAGCCTACTAACAAATCCCGATTTTGCGTATAGCTTAATTCCCCGAGCGTAGGCGAGGGGTAAAGTAGACTAATAGAACCCCGGATATACGCGGAAGTGGCTCGCGCTAGTACACTAGCATATGAATAAACTCGGTGTAGTTATCCGTACGTAAAGGATTAAGTAAATAAAAGCGTAGGTAACTGCACGAGCTTGTACAGTTACCTATATACGCTTATATAATCGAAAATACGCTAATTAGACCCTACGCTAGGCCGTTAATAGTTAAGTAAGGGAGTATACTAAATCCTTAGCTAAATAGCTTAAACCCTATCTCCGCCTTCTATTAAATCCTCTACCGCTAGTACAGTGCCTATTATATACGAGCTACTATACGCCCCCTACCTATATATATAATAGCGGAGAGTTTAGTAAGAGGCATATAAAGGTCGCCGGGCGGCTACTAAGGGTTATATAGGTCTAGTAGCCTATATACAATTACTTAATTATAGAGACCTTAGAAGAGACCGATATAATTAGAACTAGGTCCGTACCTCGAGAGAGGTATATATTAGGGCCTCCGAGAACACGTAGAGTGCTTAGAGGCTTAGTTTTGTTAGCAATTACCCCTTGTTTTAAGCTTATTAGTATTATAGTCGTTCCTATTACCCTAAGACCTGCCCTACTACCTATTACTATACTTCTCGACCTAAACTATAGCTTCTCGTAGAGCGATCTATACCCTCGCTTAGGTCCTTTACTCTATACGCTATTAGGGGTGTTCCGCGACTATTATAGTTAACCTACGCTATATAGTCTAACTATATTACTTAATAGTCTAACAACCTGTCGCTTAGTAGCTGATTAGGTTTATAGAGTAAATATAACGGTCGTTTCTACGCTAGTCGAAGAGCCTATCTAGCTAGTCGAAGAGCCTATCTAGTAGCCTGTTTCTACACTAGTATCCCTACCGATTAGGGAGCCTATTTCGACGCTAAATAGCACTTAAATTAACGGCTAGACTAATAGTTAAACTTTAGTTAATACTAGACTTTCTTAGGACGAGATTATTGCCGCTACTATTACTAAGGAATACGGTATAACTCGACTAAATAGTAATAGTTATATCTCGGCTACTGCTAAGCTTACTCTTACTAAGGTTAGCGCCTATATAGCCTATAAGCGAGTAACTAGCAAAGTGCGTAACTAGAATGCTAGCTTTAAGTCTATTATTCCTACTACTTAGCTAACTAATAAGCCTCTTATTAGCGATCTAGTAAGAGCTTATCGTATAATAATTAAGCGCCGAGTAGTTGCGAGAAGGCCTCTTAACGGAGCTTCTAGAGTTGTCGTTATAAAGACTCTTTAAGACTAGCTTCTCGATAAGGCTACAGAGATACTATTTCGACTAGATAAGGTATAGCGCGAGAAGGTATTAAATACGAAGGAGTTAAAGGCATTTAATAGTACTACCGAGAATATACGTAATACTATACTATCGACACTCTCTTAGCGTAGTAATAGTAGTCCGGCTCTAGTCGCGCTAACTCTAGCTCTAGCTATTCTAATAACGCTAGTTCTACGAGCGGAAGTTATCGACTTAACGATACTATCTACGGTCGATAGTAATACTACTTAGCTTACAAAGCGTCGCCGTTTAGACTTCGAGTCTAAACGGCTCTAGCGTAGATTATAGGTATAAGGAGCTATACTAAAAGAAGTATTATCGCCTATGTTTAATACTCTAAGAATACTCGCTAAGGGCCGTAGCTTGAGACGTAGAATTAGCTCGCTATTAGAGTCTTTAAGTGTCTCTATTGATAGCGCCGCTAGCGGGGCTCTAAATATACTAAGTCCTACTAGATATATAAGCGCTAGAAGCGACTTAAGCGCCGTAA